ATTCATTCCAGTTTCTGACTATTGTTTTCATTGTCTTTTAGTACTTTGCACTTAGGTACCTGGTGTATAAAGCTATTTGTCCTTGGTTGCTAAGTGATACTGGAACAATAGTGGTATACTGTCCATTTTAATAGGAAGTTGCACTCCGTACAAAATAATTAACTTTCACACAACATTTCAGTTGCTAGAACTACCTCTGAAAATATCACAAAGAACAAAGGACATCCCAACTTCTAGTTTTTAATCTCCTAGAAAAGCATCCAGGCGAAGCCTTTTATAACAACAGTTGCATTCAAGTACACTTCTCTTAATTTAAAAGGCAAATAATGTGCTGTAGAAACAAGAATTGAGTGACTATTGGAAATGTACATAGAGCCACAAGTGAGCTGGCACTTTGGGAAGTAAGCTGAAGTGAATTTATCTGTATTTGGTAGTTATTTTTTTGATTTGATCACCTTGTTTTGATTCTCTAAAGTGATAGCGAAGGGTTGGTCTTGTCCACAGACAGACTGATGAAATCTTGTGCTCTCTGACTGGGTTGCCTTGACAACTGCGTTCTGGTCTCCTGTCCCAATTGATCCGGGAGGGGATGAGTTGGGACTAACAGGTAAGTAAGAGAGACTTACAGCAAGGGCGGAGAGGACTAGTTTCGTCAGTAGTTGCTTTTGAGAGGGACTGGAAATTTAGAAAGTTTTCCTTGAAAAATACATCAGCCAAAGAAGGGTTGTGGTTAACACCTGTTGTGTACGAGGCACTAATATTAGTTTTCATAGCAATAATGATGCACCGATGCGTCATTCACAACCTGAGTTAAATTATTATTAATAAAAAAAATTTATGTATCTGCAATGTACATTGCCTGCAAAATGCAACGATTGGCCTGGTATATTATGAGAAAAAGATGGAGCAATCGTGTGAAGAAATGTTGAAAAACAATTTCACTGTGGGTCTCAGTACTCCACATTGCTTTCTCATTTCTGTTTTTAATGCAGCAATGCTGTTCTGGGTAAAGGCTGAAAACATCACAGAAAATCTTCAAGCTCATCAAACAAATGAAATCCCCAAATTCTTACTCTAGCTTACATTCTCCAATGTGCTCTAACTCTCTGATGTCTCTGGAAATCAATTTCCAAAGACAATTCTCAAGGCCTGAGATTGTCCTGTGTTTTGAACATACATACACACACACATACATACATTTATTTCTGTATGTATGTATGTATGTATGTAAGCTGAACACAGATTATTCTCTGCACATGATGGATCACGTCTCAATCGATAATTTATGAAAGGCACAATTGGAATTCCTTGGCTTCTTTCTCTCATCCTCCTACCTCGCTGATCCCAGTGGGAACCAAAGAGCAGAGTTGTCATGGCAATGGCTTAACAGCGCTTACTCTTGACACATGGGGTTTGCGAAGAGGAATGAGCGGCAGAAAAATAATATGTTAGCAACGTGATTCAAGACCTGGCTGCCATAATCTTACAGCTCTGATCTTATCGTTCTGATGAGGTTGATGGATTCGAATCTAAAGATCCTGAGAAGATTTTTGCATTGTTTTTCACACACACTGTGTATCCTCAGATTGCATTTGAATTTAATAGGAAAGCTGAGACAGAACATTTACAAACAACCCAGGTACTGGGATGCTATCATGTTGAACTCGCTTTGTGTGAAAGGAATACTCACAAGATACAATGACAATAAGAGCGAGGGGGTGGGGGGGAGCTTTTCATTATTTTTCCGAGTCTTTGGGTTCCAAGATTAAAAGAGGTTGTGTCCAAATACAGTGCAAATGAAACATATACAATAAATTAATTAAATGTGACAAGCTGCCTGTAGACAGGAGCCTGATCTGTCAGACTGACAAGTCCACAAATTTCATTCATAAAAGGTTTCATTTCAGAACAAGCTCTGGTGAATCCCAGTCATACAGGTTTAAGATAAACTGCTGATATCACAGATTGTGTTGGGGAATGCACATTTTCAGAAGGTCCTCACAGCCTCTCTCTGTGCGAAGGAGGACTGATGCAGGCTAGAATCGAATAATGTACATCCTCAAAATGCTTTTGATCCTAAATTGGTCAAGCAGATGAAGCTTTTTTTCTTAATTCTGTGGCACAGCTGTTTTCTGGCCCGAGAATTGTTATTGCGCAGAAGTGCGAATAATTATTTCCAGATGTGAAATAGTAATTAATGATTAATAACGCGCAGCATTCCAGATTTCACTAATGTTCCTAGAGATTATATAAGAAACTGTGCCTCCTCAGAATAAACAGAATATTTAACCAGTGATGGTGAGTGAGTAAAGGTACAGTAATCTGTTAGTCATGTGTAAATGATCATAAATAATGCCTGTAGTGCTCATGACCGGTGAAGCAACTGCTGTACCTCATCATCTAGCAGTGTAGATTTGCTCCACGTACTCTCATCCAACTGTTGAGAGCACCGGAATCATAGTTTCTCAGCACAAGCTAAAATGTGCCTTGCTTGCAGTGCTGAAAGCGAAAGATTTTTCTATATTTCCTACTTTTCATTTATTTGCATGCTGCTAAACAAACTCAACACCCAACTTGCTCGTGAGTTGAACGCCAAAGTCAATCGTTAGTTGTCTCTATTGTCATTAAAGATTCGGTCATGTTAGTAACCTACTTAGCAATTTATCTTAATCATCCTAGTCTTCTGTTATTTTTAGAAAACCAGAAGTGGCTTGTGATAGCCAGGCATGGCTCAGCATTGGAAAAGTCATCCGCAGAGATTTGTTTCCTAAAGGGTAGTGGGGACATGAAGAAATGTTGGAGAAATGTGAAAGAAAATAATACTTTTGTTGTAGATTAAATGTATACAATTATCAATTCTGCTGCAAGAAAATTTCTATGAATTATTCAAATTTTGGTGGCCATTCTTTCTTCACGAGAAAAATGAAACATTACTTGACTGAGACCACAATGCCGCTTGGCAAAAGGAAATAAAATGCTTTAGCGAGGCTAAGCTATATGACAGTGAATGTTACATACATTACCATTTGATAGTTTTACCATTCCTGTAAACCACCCCCTAGTCTCTGCACTGCTGACTCATGAGTCATGTCTGTGTTATCCCAGACATAAGGAATCTGCAAACCTAGATTGAAAGACATTGCTACCTTACTAAAGAAGCTGAGAAGCCGTCAATATCTTTTACTTATAAATTATGTATAGGGTGTTTCACCTGATATTGATATCACCCAAACTGTCAGAATTGTGTTGTTCCCGTGGGGAAGAAAAGTTTCTCTCGTAGCTGAATCTGAGTTGATTCTGGATTATTAAATCATCAGGATCTACTTCCTGTCAAAATAAATGACAACTTCAGCTGCTCCTTGTGGATCAATCTCTACAAACCTAATGGAAGCAATAACCCTCTACCAGGCTGTGCAGAATATGATTCATGTCAGAATTATTTTCACACATCCATATCGTGCCTTGGTGTTTCTATAAATATGATGGAATATAAAAGTTTCATTTGTTTAATGGCTCCTACAATGGAACATGACTTCTGGTCAATTAGGATTTTTTCCTGAGGATCGCAGGTCACTGAACACCACCAGTGATTGTAAACAGAAATACAACTTTTTAAAAATGAAATAACAGCAACTTACATTTACAAAGCGTCCTTCACACGGAGCAGTATCTCAGAGCAGTTAACAGTGGCGGAGCCTAACACCAAGCCAGGGAGAGGGAGAAGGTGACCATAAGCATGGTCGAAGAGAAAGGTATTCAGAAGGTCAAATAAGTAACTAGTTTTACTCTAAAGGTGCTCAAAACTGGCTGATGGGACACTACGGAAATTCCTGCTGGCTTTATAAAGGTTTATCTTCAGAAATTTTCCGCCTTGTATCTTTGGAAAAGGCATTACAATACAACATGAGATTTGAAACCATTTGGAAAACAAATCAATCATTTGCCTGTGTTAGTACATAACATCTGTCACCACTGTTGCAAAACGGAAAAAGAGATTTGCAGACCCACAAAGACTACTAATTAATGACTGAAACAGGTTACCAGGAATGGTGGTTGAGGCCAGAGTTTTTTAAGAAACAGTAGAAAGCATGTTCTGGAAGGATGAGATCAAGTGGCCCAAAGACCTATTCAAAGTAGAATTGATTCACTGCATTTGGTATCAATTTCCAGCTACCTTCTCCTAACCTCACGTCCCTCTGCAGTCTGATCTTGGTTATGCATTGGTTAGATGGCATCTGATGTTGCTTGAGAAAATCAGCATTTCTTCAAGCTGTGCAGATGGCTCATCGTTGACTCAGGTCTAAGGTATACGAGTCAGTCCACAGCAGCCCTCTGCAATACAGACTAGAATCCCTCGAGCTGCTCTAAATTTGCTGCACAAAAAAACACAGCAAATTGAAACAAGGTTTTTTTTCCCCAATTTGACTGGACTCATGTGAAGTATAAAGACCAATAGACCAATACAGACTAATTGGGCTGAATGGCCTGCTTCAACAAGAACAGCAGATTGCATTGATATAGCACCTTTGACGTCGGGAGGATGTCCCAAGGCATTTCTGTAGAGTCAATGTAGACTTTAAAGAGGGCCAGTACAAAAATAAACAGTGACTAACAAAAACTGATGAGTGAGTAATCTTTTCTCATTCCTTTCTGATACTTATTTTTCTTTTCATTTCCAACATTTTAAGCGCTCCAAGATGCTACCTCGTGTGAAGGGAGCTGAATAAATGCAAGCTGTTGTTATTTGAACACCACTCAGGGGTACTAACTGGTCTGTATTGAAAGTCTCTGATGTTATTTGCTATTGTTATTTGTCAGATTCTCTTGACATTGTAGGAAGTGTTCAACTCTGTATCTGATAATAGTAGAGCTTCCTGCTGTTATTTATTGCTCAGTGAAAATGTATTCTTTTCCCCACACTACTGTCAGCTTTCACAGCACAAACACATCAGCAACCTTTAAAATAAATGTTTTTTTAAAAAAAAATCAAAAGCTTTTACCCTAATGAATAGAATCTTTTCACCAACACGATACCGCCCTTGAGACAGACGTTCCACTGTAAACTTGGTCGGACATTTACACGGTGGATCTTCTGAAATGCGTTTTACCTGAAACAGAAGCGTGAATATACTTTATAATAATAATAATAATAATAATAATAATCCTTGCATTTGATATAGCGCTTTTCACGTCGGGAGGACGTCCCAAAGCGCTTCACAGAACACACTGTAAAGTGATTGACTGTATATTTGTGGGCGAACGCGGCAGCCAATTGCGCACAGCAATGTCCCACAAACAGTCGTAGATTGAAAATGACCAATTTAATTATTGTTTTTGGTTTTTGGAGGGATTATTATTAGGCGTGTGGAGTAAGGAAACTTGCCCAAGGTTTCGCCCTCTGCCTGGAATTGAACTCAGGTCTCTCACTTGCAAAGCGAGTGCTCTAAACACTGAGCTACAGGACTCCACAAAGTCGGAAAGGACTAACTGTAGAAATTTTCAGTCGTAGAATTCCTTAATATAACCCAATTTCTCCCCCCACCCCCCAAATATCAGAAGAATGGAAGGGGGGGATAGAGCTGATTTTTACCCACCATTGATTGCCACATAATTGTTCCTTTTACATGTCAGCTGGGAACTGTTGTTTTAGTTTTCGCCAAACCCTGCCAGTTCATAGTGTTTGATTGTACGTATGGTTTCAATTCGGTTTCAGATTAAGTGAGAGCAGATCTTCGTTCAGAGTCCGAGGCTAATTAGCATGAGCATGCGGAGCTGGGTAACAATTTGATATGGTGCCCGATATGTAACTGGCCATTTTACTTTCAGGTGATCCCTTTGGATGTAGAGGTTGATTTTTTTTCGGAGATACTGAGACACTGTAACTATTAATCCTGGCTGAGTATCACCCATGTGGAGCCTGGTTTTGTATCTGGGATTTCCCTGGCCTAATCTGACTCTATTTGATCAGATCTGAGGAGCTTTGACAATGCCAGACTCCCAGCATCTGCTTATTAAAAAGCAGACTTTTTCCAAAGATTTGTCAGTATCTCCACTGAGTTATGTGTAAGGGATTTCATCACCCACTTTAACTTATCACTTAAAATTAAGCCATTTACACATGCGATCCATTTTGTTGCCTTTCTGTTGATTGTAGAGTGCTGATTGACTTTGAACTGTGAGCTACTTATTTTTTAAACAGACAGAATATCTGCGCCAATCAATATACTTTCCTGTCTAATTTGGCCGGGAACTAAAACACAGAAGCAAATAGTGAGTCAATAACAGAGGGAGGAATGTGGAATAAAACCATACCACTCACAAACATCATTTACTGGCGCCTGATCAGTCACTTAAGTACTCAATTTTAAAGCATTACATAATTAATTTCCCGAACCTAATGCTCAGCTAGTGAATAATCAGCCAGTACATAATAATAAGTACCGTTATATAGTCTTATTTTGCAACACCATATGTTAAATGCAGCCTAATTGTTGGTATCAGTTATTCCTCTAATGACTGTGCAAATGATTTGTTGACATATATCTGCTCAGTAGGCTTGTGCCCTATAGATTTGTTGTTGTGTGGTACGTTCAGGAGTGGGCTGGCTCATTCACTAAACTTAACATTATCCTTTGAGGTATCTCCACTCTGGAATCAATATGCAGTAATGAAAATTAAACTGAATCCATTGCAGATTGTCTCGACTTTCACTGTGGACTTGCAACAGAGTTTAATGTAGAATAAAGTGGAATAATGGCACTTAGATGGTAGAAGGCAGGCAGCTCAATGCACAATCTATCCTACTCGTGGTAACAGGATTGTCATGCTTTCAATCACAAAATGTCTGAGGCTACCTGCCTTATAAGCGAGGCAGCCCTATATTGAAGAGTATTACAACAGAGTTTGCCTTTATAGAAAAATGTTGAGCATAGTTGCTTCAAGTGGCAAAAGGTTTGCCAAAAGGCGGAGACTTTAAATTAATTCAAGTTAAATATAGCTGAACTGGAGAATGACAGAGTGGAATGATCCACTAGCCATACGAACAGTAAACCAACCCCTTATTATTGTGATTGTTTTTGGAGGGCAACAAATTGCCAACTCAGGTACAGCAAATGTAACTTTAAGAAACATTTGAATTCTATATGTTGTCAAAGAAACAAATTGGAATTAACAAACCTCTTAGAGGATGATGTTAATTCAGAATTTATTATCTAATTGTCTACAAGTAAAATTATTAAAACCTTTGGGTGTGCAGAATGGCTTCAAAACATTTGAAATATTCGATACAGAACTGCCATCACTGGGTCAGGAGCTGGTGGGATCGACAGCTTCAGAGTTGAGACTGAAAGCAAGCAGCAACATAACTTAGTCTAGACAACCTATGTGATTAGAGCTGAGAATTAAACCATAAAGACAACTTTCATTATAATTTCTAAACATCTGGATTCAAGCTTGTTTTTTTTTGCAGCATTTTTCTTCTACGTCTCGAAAGTAGGGATTCAATCCTCATCTCTCTCTCTGAGGCAAGATGGGTTAGATTTTGTTATGGCAACCTGGCATGTTGAGGTTATTGATCAGAGGGGGGATAAAACTGCTTGGGATGACAGATGAGAAGGAACCAATATTCTTCTATAATCTGCCAATATCCAGGTCCCAAACTAATATTCAAACAGCTAAAAGATTCAGTGTTAAATGGGACTCCAGTGGATTTTGAGCGTTGGGATCAACATCCAGAATTTCAAAACATGTTAGTCTCTACTAGTTTAATGCAGCTTTTTCCTGTTCATCTCTTCATTCTCCTCTGTGTGTATGTTTTCCCCTTTTTTTTACTTACCGCATCATCCAACAGCTTCCCCGCACTCTTCTTCCCAGGTGATTTGGTTGGAGAAGGAGATGGTGGTGGTGCAGAACGAGACTCTTCCTGTTCAATTTCTTTTTCCAATTTCACCAGTCCTGATGGCTCGACTCCAAACCTTGAGATCAAAGGAAATACGCACACCCATTGTGCATTGTTTCAGCAATCCAAACGCAAACAGCTTAAGGAATCTCTCGCTTACATCCGCTAAATGATAGTTCAGCCTGGAAATGGGTTATTTTGTGCTAAAATGTGAAATTTGTAGTTTCCATCCATTCAGCAAAATGACAATTTACCCTTTGAAACCTCACTGAAATTAACACCTGATAAACCACAAACAATGATGGACCCATTCAACAAGAATGATCAGTTTAGGAGACAAGTGATCCACATTGGAGCATGGGTGATTTTTGGCATAAAGTAGTGGGAGCATTCTTCCACATTTAATAACGCCCTACCTGATGTGTTACGTGTTGATATTGATAACTGATGGTCCCAAGTGCCAAAAAATGTCTCAATTCCTCAAACAAACATTCCTTATTTTACTGCGTGAAGCCATTTCTCCCCACTGCCTAAACCAATATTGTTTGAAAAATACACGAGCCAAGGTGCAGCAAGGCTGATGATTTTGAAATTGAAATGCAAGGATTGTTGTACAATGATGCATCTGTGTAGACGTGAATAACACGGCCACAATGTGCATGAGTACTCCTACCTGGCAGAGGAAAAGTAGTGAATAGTGTTAATGGATGTAACCCAGCAGGTAAGAACACTGGCCCTTTCAATCCTGAGACATTGATTCAAATTCAATGCATGTCTCCTGTGTCTAGTGTAAGATCACTCTCAATGGGCACCAGTTCACAGGACAAAACATTCTCTTGTCACTTGGGAGCAAACGATTTATTCTTTGAAAAAAAGCTTTGACGTTGTTTTGCTTGTGTGTTCAAATAAGAATAATGACCTTTTTTTCGGTCTTGGTATTAATGGGGAACGTGTCATAGAAATTAGTTGAAATGAACCTAAATTCATTGAATCATTAAGCAAAGCTTAAACGACTTTGAAGTTTGAACCAATGTACAGGTACTGCTTGATTCATTTTTGAATTAATGCAGTAGACACCTGAGGAAATGATTTGTGTTGTACATGGAGTACTGGGGTTATCGTGAAAAGTTACTTATCGTTCAATACTCCCCAAGGGCAAACAGCTGATTATTCATTCCGTTAGTAAAATGAACTCTGCGCATTTGGCTGGTAGCTCACTCAATCAATGTCCACGTACAGAAATTGACTTTGACAAGTGGCTGCTGACTCACTCCTTTCAACTTCTCGGTTACTTTCACTGCATCAGCACAGCAGGTGACGCAAGACATTGGTGTTGTATGTGCTGTTTAGCCCACTAGTTTCAATCCTGCGATTCACCCATGCATTTCAAACAGAATCAGGCAAGTAAATATCAAAGAATGAGGATGAGGAACCCCGGATACACTCGTACACAATACAATAATAATAATCCTTACATTTGACATTGCACCTTATTGCATCATTGAGACATCTCAAAGCACTTCAAAGAAAATACTGTAAAGTGAATTTGTCTATTTTTATATAGGATTTTATTCGCACTAAGAATCACTTCTTCATAGTACTAGATTTGATAACTCAATTCCTTTGGTGTTTGCTTTTACTCTTAATAGTTAATATTTCCAATATGCATCAACTAATGGAGTTGGTGGTTACTCTGCATTATTTGGAACATCTATGGTATCTATGTGTAACAGTTAATTCAACTGAGGTTGTTTTTCTTCAGTTATAATGAGTTTGGTTAAGATTGGCAGGTTGAGTGAAACTGATAGGCTTACATTACTATCTCTTGTCAGGATGGTCCTATATTGTAATTGATCTTGTCTGTTTGCCTTACATGAACAGTGTTATGTGGCACATGCTCCATGTGGGCATTAGTCATTCATGTTTGTGTGCTGCTGCATAATTGGAAGAAATATAACATCAATGAATGTAACAAGCAGAATAGAGTGAGTGTGATTGATGGCGCAGTGAGTCTGGCAACTTGTTATACTATGCTGTTCTCTGAATCAGTCCCAGCACATCTACTGCAGAAATGGGTTCATTTTCTGCCAGAATCTGTTTAGAGAATTCAGTGCAGTTTAACTGGCGGTCAGGGGTTGGGCCACACCACATGTTTGATGTTTTCTGACTTTGGACTGGTAATGTAGAACGGGTATTTGATATTCAATCAACTTATCTGAAGTGACACAGATTCCAGAGAGTTGCAACAACAGCAAAGGAATAAAAATAATAAACCTTGCATTTGATACATCGCCTTATTACGCCTTTGAGATGTCTCAAAGCGCTTCACAGAACATACTGTAAAGTGGATTTACTGTATATTCTGTGGGTGAAACACAGCAGCCAATTGCACACAGAAAACCAGTACCAATGGCATTTAACATCCAAACTCAAAGGGGGAAATAGTGACTTGTGAATTAGACAACAACAACAAAATTATACTTATAGAGCGCCTTTCACGTCGGGAGGACGTCCCAAAGCGCTGAAGTAAAATGGAGGAGTGGTAACATAGTCAGAATAATGAAAAGCTGGATTCAAATAATGGAATTGCTACTTTCTCATTAATACTATTAATTCACATCATAGGCATGAACAGCAGCTAGGAAATAAAACCAAGGCTCGGCTCCATAGACACAGTCGCTATGGTACCAAATAAACAGGGATGAAACATTAACTGTTTCGAATTATATTGATCCAAATGAACTTCGTCACTCTATAAATGAAATTCTAGTTACAAATTGATTGCTTTCTTTGGCTAATAGCTGGTGCGGTCTGTTTAATGAAAAGTCAGCTAGCATGACTATGACTGCTTGTACTGAATATAGCCTTTTCCTGTCTGTCTGCGGGAGTTGACATGCTGTAAATCTTCTTATTCTCACTGGGTCTCTACCTATAGCAGGCTTCACATTCTCGCACTACACAAACAGTCTGCTTCTGTGCAAGATCCTGTTTGATATTTTTCCTCCTGATTTAAATGTGCTGACTTGATTTTGATGTCCCTTCGTTCAACCGGCAGATATTTACAGCTGATTGAAGAGGAAGTATAAGCAAATGACTGGTAATAAAAAAAAGTACTGGATTTATTTGCATTGATGTTGACTATGTTCAGTTTATGCAGAATATTGATCACAGTATTAGATTGTGAGGGGAGGGGATGTGGAAGCTGTGAGGGGAGGGGATGTGACTGAAGCTACCAGTGATAAGCAATAAGACCATTTATAATCAAATCAGATGTGTTTCCCTACCCCTCCCACTCTCCTATTCGATGACATAGGTTTTAAAGCGGTCTCACAAGGTGGATATATGGCTACTTGTATTTGCAGAAGATGGTCTATAAAGCTTCCTTTTTTGTGCCACTTAGCTTATGTATGGGGGGTAGACCCATGTTTTGCTTTCTTTGGACACCTGTCATCGAGTTTAACAGGATTGGAAAAGGTTAAGGACAGAAGGCTCAAAAGATATTCTGAAAAGAAAAATACTTATTGGCTTAAGGATGATTTTTCTCTCTGGATTATGGTATAAACACTTTGCCTTTGGCTCAGTTGGAAGTACTCTGCCCCTTGTCAGAGGTTGTGGGTTCAAGCCTCGTGGCAGGACTTCAAGCTCATAGTCTAGTCTGGCAATGAAATGCTTGGGCTCGGTATCATAGGTGCTGTCCGTCAGATGAGATATTAAACTGAGGCCCTGGCTGACTGTTCAGATGGACATTAAAGATCCCATTCCACTATTTCAAAACAAAAAGGACTTCTCCTCGTGTCCTGGCCAACAATCCTCAGATAAAACTGGGCATTCACTTCATGGCTGTTTGCCAGGTATTGCTGTATGCAAATTAGCTGCCCTTTTTGCCTGCAGAATAAACAGTTACTACACTATATTTCAATGACATAAGGCACTATATCAAATGTGAAGACTGTGTTTTGTTTATCCATCTACTGTACATGCCCGACCAAGAACTAGAGAACAACCTCATGGAATGAGGGCAGATAAGGTGAAATGCTAATTGAGACTGCGCTTCACACTTGTGCTCTCTGACTTCAATGCTCTCAAAGTTGCGAAAGGGAATACAATTGCTTTAAAGCGCAAATAATCCTGAGGTCTTAAATGATACTGAGGCTGAAACAACTCCATCTGGTTACAGGGTGAATAAGAGCCATTTGAAGTACCATTGAATCACTGTTCACAGTTTATTTATGAGTGAGTGCACCCATAATTTACTAAACCAGTGCATGTTGTTGAATTTAGCATAAGTACTGTAGTCCTTCTCTTCGATAGCTATCAAGCTGCTTCGTACTGGAAGGGGGAAATCATTCTGTTTTATTTTGCTATTGTGGTCAGCTTATTCCGTGAAGCTTTGTAATGCTCCGAGTAATTGGACCACATCATCGCATTCTGGAACACTGCTAATATGTTATTTGAACAACTGTCCACAAGATGTCCACATGGGGTCTGAACATCTCTATACTGCATGCAATTGGCCCTTACTGAGTTGGGCACATTAACCTGGCAAAAGATGGTAGGCTGAGGCTAATTAATTGAGTGAAAAATTATAAATGTTAATTTCTATATAAAATGAAGGATTGGGTATCATTTTACCTGGAGGCTATTCTCCCCAGTTCCAGTAAGCACAGGCATACTTCTCTGGGCTCTTTATGAAGGACTGCAAACACAAAGGCATGAAACACTGTTAGTCATTGAATATCCACTCACTCTCCAGGCTTTTATATGCACAACAGAAATTAATTGTGCAAGTGTCTTCCATTTCACTGACTTTCATTCATCAATACTTCCGAATTTTCGTGAACCACATTTATGTCACAGTCATTTCCTTTGCTATGAAAACTCTAATTTTCCGAGCCAGCCCATTGGTTTTAAAGCAATGCAGATTTGTACTGGAATTATCGCCTCAATCACTGAAGAGAATTCTGCTGTTTATTACTCAGTTATAGAGGGAACATTGCTGGGCTTTGGTGGTGTCCTCCAGTTGGGACCTTGACCCTAAATTCAACCCCAGGTTCTCAAATGTAAATCTCTTAAATAAAAAATCTAGATAAAATCCCTTTAATAACAGCATGTCAGAAATTTTAAGATAGGTTCCAGCTTTTCTTCAAACCCAAACTCTGTTTTATTCAGTAGCTGATCAAATCACAAAATGTGTTGACTGATCTGAATGTTAACTGGTTAGATATGCAAGGCCAACACTCTTCCCCTTGATAAGCCCTGTCAGACTTAATATTGTTTCACTGTGTAGAGTGGTTGTTCATTCAAAGTACTTATGTAACATGAAATCTTCACACTCCGACCTATCAACAGAATAAATAATGCATGCTATCAGTTCAAAGCACCACATGTGTGTCACTCACTATGTTAATTGTAACATGCAAAGAGAATTTCATCACACTTTATGTAATATCTTGAACCCACTATAAACAACAACAGGGCTTTGTGGCACAACAAAGTGCAACTGTAAAGCACATGATTGACAGAAATCTTTCTGTTTGTAATGGAATTGTTTACATTCTCTTATTACCTTGGGTTGAAATAAGCCAATTTGCTGTTTATAAATAGAAGTTAGTTCTCCCTTGATAGCTAATAGTTGGTAAACTATTAGCCTGTATGAAGATGAATAGGGACAGTCCAAGTTTGATCATCAATTGGTGTTAAACTAGCTGATCTCACCTACAGAGTCATCACCCAACCCTACAAGTTATTATTATTATTATTATATCCTCCCAGAGATTGAATTATGGAATGCTAGAAATTCATTTCACGTATAGATTTTTACTTGCACGAATGCAAACCAGAGTGTGGTGTGAACTTATTACACACAGTAATTGGTCAACTGGATGGTGATTGATGGATGAATTTACTGAATGCATTCATGGTCAAAAGACGACATTTACAACACTGATCACACAATATTACGATGTCAAACAAAGCATTCCAACACCAACTCAGGTGGAACCTTTATAAGAATCCCCGCTTCATCTCTTCTTTGTCACTCAATGAAGGAGACGCTTCCCATTGGCGGGCATGACCTAGAAAAGCAACATTTGAGCCAACAGTGTCAGAGGTCAGATATTCATCTTCACAGCAACTCTCTCTCGAGATCACTGACAGCTTTGTTTTGTATTTGAGTAAGTAGGTCAGAAAAGGAGGCCCAGATAAGTATGTCAAGCTGTCATTCGAAGAGGGAGAAAAATGGTGCAAAATGGTCCCATTAACACAGAGAAAGAGGGTATCATTTACATGAAAGATAAGGATTAAAGTCGTTTTTTGTTGAGTGACCTTTCGTCTGTTGAGAAAAGAGGTCTCTCGGCTCCACAAAGGCTCATTTATTCTCTGAACTGCATTGATAATGCATTCAGCAAAATAGAGCTTTCAAATATCACTGAATCCACCGTGATCAGGCAAGAATGGATACCATTCACATTGTACACATAATCACAATACTATCTTCAACATCCTAGACCGCAGCTATTCCCTGTGTGTACAGTATAATGAAATAGAACCAAGTAACGTACCTAAACCTTCAGACTCAAAAAGGCAAGTGTCATCCACCCCCACTTCTCTGCACCAGGCTAGGAAGTTGGCAGTGTTGTCACGGGCAAAAAATGACCCCGAGGGAGCATTTGGTTTGCAAGGTATCTTCTTCACAGGCAGACTCTGTCAATGCAAAACACATTATTAATTCACTACAAAACATATATAATGCGCATGACTATTTGAAAGCACGGCACATTTTATCTAAGTGCAAGACATATGATTCAGAAGTGAGTAGATAGCTAGTTGAAGCATTACCTACCATTTTAGTTATAGCTTCGTCATTATCGTTCAATCAATTATAAGGCTAGAAAAATCCCTGAAAATGGCTCTTTTCATGTTTGCTAATGTATACAAATGTCATGAGACAGATGGATCCACAATAGGAGACGGTCCATGATGCTTACAGTTTCAGTGCCACTTCCCTTAATTCTGATTAACTCATCATAGCAGAGTTTCAAGTGAGTTTTCACTTAAGATCTGTGCTTCTATCATTTATTGCATATGTTTTTTGAATATTACTGCACTGCAGATTACTGAGCTTTGGTGTGTCAAACATTAGTTAATAATGAATGATTTGCTGCACAATGTTGAATTGAGAATTGGCAGATTGGTCTGAAAGAGATTCCAGATCTTGTCCTTTAATTTTGCTATTGTCCTCAGCGCCTGTTAAGAGTATTGGTGTTCAATCTTTATTACTGTGTGCTCACAGTTTGACCCGTCACTGCCTTGATTTTCTGGTCGTTCACATCTTATAACAATGCCAGCCCAGAACCCAGAACAGCATCAGAAATCTTTCCACAGTCGTTGAAATACAGTTGTTGTTGACACGCTGTGGAGACTGAGTGGTTGTCCCCGGTTGATATGTTAAAACCTTTTAAAGTTTAAGCATACAACTGCAGATCACTTTGGTTCTGGTAGCATTCAAGCCATCATTAGAATAGTTGTATTGTGTTGATTGAGAAGCGATGATCAGAAGCCATATAATGGAAGGCATGACAGAGTGAAAGGTTGCTCTTATGTATCATCCCAATGACTGTTTGCATATGAGAGAGTTCTGCCAGCAGATTCCTGACTGGCTATTGAGCCTGGGACCGACTTGTGGTACAAGGGATTTAGCAAGTAAAGGGTGAATCAATTAAATTATAAAAATATTATTTAAAAAAAATGAAACAAGAAAATAGATCTAAACTAAACCAGGGAAAACTAGAAAACACCACCAGAATTTGCTTAAAATAAGCATGTGAAGCGCTTTAAACTTCCTCCTGACGTGGAAAATTGTGTTATAATATCTCATTTCAGTCCATCAAAAAAGGAAATCACAAGCTGAAATATCTTGACCTGGAAAGATCTGCTCATTGTGTGGATCTGTCCTGGGCTCCCTGCTGCTACCGTCAGCAGTAACCCTCGTGATTCTGGATGCTGATCCCAAACACAACTTCAAAAGCTCTGTACCAGCTGGGGTTTTCTAGTCACTTTAAATCCAAAGACAGACAGACCCATTGGATATGTCATACCGGTTTTCTCCTGAACAGGAGATGCGAAATGGCAGATCTCCAGTAGGTTACTTATGGGAATTGTGAATAACTTCATTTAGGAGCTATTTTTAATGGGTTGGTTTCCACGTGTGTCAGACACCCAGCTGACCCCCCAAAAAATTGTCTTCAACAATTTGTGGATGGGTAGGTATGTGGATGGGTGAGTGGGAGGAGTACTTCAAACTGAAATGATTTTCACCCAAATTTATTCCTTCAAAATATTATAAATCAAAACTATAAATCTATCTGTGATGCAGAGGAAGCAGTGGCAAGTAAATACCTGAGCTATGGCTCCCTTAGTCATCGGAAGCACATTACCTCCAGAGGGTTCAATAAGGCCAGAGAGCACATATCAGGTGCCAGCAGTACATCATTTGAAAATGATGATCTGAAATTCACTGGAGACCAGGAGACTCACGCTACTAAAATATGCTGTTGGCAGTGAATTTTAGAAGTCTGGATCTGAAAAAAACATCAATTTCTGCTCTGGGATCCATGTTGCCAGACACAGACTGCAACATAGACAGCTAGTTTTGCCGTGTATGATACTGTAAGTTTTTCCCTGGCACAATGCTAATACCCATTTCCCCCATTCACATCTACATCAGTCCTAGAATGTTGCACCATCCGCAGGGAAGAAGTCAAATTTAGGACAAGCTGTGGTACTAATGCACAGAGGTATTTTCCTGCAGTGTATTTTTGGGGAAAATGCAAGAAGCTTCAGGAACCTCAATTGTGACTGTTTTAAACAATTAAAAAGGACATTATTAAAATGCACCCCAGAGCCCATGAGCAACAGTAAAGTGAATTGACTGTATATTTTTGGGCAAAACAGGAGACCTGTCTCTGGCTTTCAATTTATTTTGAATGTATTTTATGTTCACATTCAAGCACAGAGCAAGAAAAGGAATTAAGGTCTTTTGACAGCAATTCGACCCAAAGGCAAGCACGAAACCGACAAGCATAGGACACAACTGCCCCCACATGCTCATTACTGGTCAGTTTCAAATAGCATCATTCTGATATGCAGCCCTTATCAGGTCAGGAAAAGAGCCTTTTTTTTTTGCATGCAGACGTAAAATGATTCTAAGTATCCAAGTTTACACTCTGTCCGTGGCTATGCTTTGGAGAAAGGCAAATTGACCCTGTTGAGTTTTCAAACATCTAGAGATTCGTATTGAATTTCACTGCTCCAGGAAAGTAAATGACAACTCCAGATGGTAAAACAGATTGAAAAATGTAATGTCTTCAGCACATGCATGTTGCATGCCTAAGAAGAGTTAGTGTTGAGAGACGGATTGAATAGGGTAGATAAATTGGCTGCAAAGGTTGTCAGTACAGGATGCTGGTGAACCAACATGCAATGCCACAGAGTGCTAGGGCACAGCATTAAATGAGCAAGATATCTACTCTGTCTCAACAGAGAGCATCCAGAGCAGAAAGCTGTGATTGCAGTGGAGCGTGTCGGAGTTAGTAGGTAACAGTTATTACTGCTCTCTCCAAACTACTACGAATCTGGAATCAACCCAAAGGAAGGAGGACTGCAATTGACTCTTTAAAGCCACTAACCACCTTAAGGGCACTGCATTGGTTTGCCTAAGAACTTTAAAACTTAAGTTTAACTTTAACGTCACTTCGGCTACAGTTAGACAGGAATGCAACCGTGCTCAGTAAAACTCATTAAAAAATGATATCGTGGAGCAAACTCCAAATGGATTACACCAGAATTATATTGCCATTTAGCGCAGAAGCTGCAGTGCAAACTCTGCAAACTATACAGCAGAACTGGGCACCAGATGTTTCTTAAGAGGAGGAAAAGAAATCAGAACAAGAGTCGGCCCAGAATGCTCTTGAATAATTATGTTGGGGGGGTGGGGGGGGCTGGTCTAAAAAGATATTTCAAGTCAAAAGAAGGGGTGAACAAATATATAAGTAGTAATATTTAAGCTTAATGTAGTGCTTAATCACATTGAAGCATCTCAAAGCAATTTATGTAAAGAGCTATACTGAAGTGTAACGAGTGTTGCTGTGTATGAAAAGTGGCAGATGATCTGTGTAAGTAATAATGACCCTCAAATGGCAATGAGATGAATGATCAATTACTCTAGTGGATTTGGAGGCAGAATTATTGTCAAGGTCATCAAACCAAACTCCTTGATCTTCTTGTAAACAGTGCCATGGGATCTTTAACACCAAATCAATCACAAGAACAAACATTTAGTTTGATGTCTGATCCAAAGATCTTTATTCCTTTGATAATAATAATAATCCTTGCATTTGATATAGCGCTTTTCACATCTTCTCGACGTCTCAAAGCCCTTCACAGAATATATCGTAAAGTGAATTGACTGTATATTTGTGGGCGAAACACGGCAGCCAATTGCACACAGCAGTGTCCCACAAATAGTCGTGGATTGAAGTGACCAATTTATTATTGTTTTTCTTCTTGAGGGATTATTATCAGGCGTGAGGAGTAAGGAAACTTGCCCAAGGTTTCGACCTGCTGGGAATCTAACCCAGGTCTCTCGCTTGCGAGCCGAGTTCTCTAACCACTGAGCTACAGATATTCAGTCTAAAAGCAAGGGGCACATTCTGCTAGTGCACAACTGTGTGTAAGTGCACGAGGACAAACTTACTCAGTTCACTGATCAGAGTGGAACAGTATGAACAAATTCACTATCTGCCATGGACGGAACAGAATAGCTTGCAATCTTTCAGTTATTCCCAACAAAACAGAATCCCGCTCCCGAGTCTGAACAGAACATTTGTTTCCGCAGTATTTCCTTTGCTACTGTCGCTCGTATCAAGAGAATTGATCAAAGGCCAGAACTGTCAAATGGCAGCCTAGAATTTCAGGACTAAACTGATCACCTCCCCAACTAGCAGAGACTGAACTGCTGTGGAAGAGATCATTGAGCTGTGATCATGGGAGCTCCAGTAATTTTGGCCTGATAGGAAATTCTTTCTTGCGCTGTGTATCTGACATCACTCCAGTGACATCTGGCCAGGTAAAACCTTAACAAGGACAAGTTATGTTTTTCTACTCTCCATCCCACGGGAAGGTGTTTGTTTTCAAATTGCTGGTACCCCTTGAGAAAACTGTAGGTTTCACATTACCAGGAATATTATCTTCTTTTGGTTGATGCTGAGCAGAACTGAATATTGTTTCTTCAGATGATAAGAATGCTTTGTGGAAACACAATACCGAACGCTGAAAGTACAGAGGAGAATATTTTGGGGCTGACAAAGCAATCTCCAGCAGAACACCTTCAAACTAATTTCAATGACTCTTAACTCTTGTTAGGCTTCTGTTGCAGGGTTATAACCCAGATAGGTCTGATTTGAAGTCCTGCACTGATGAACACTGAACTGAAGTCACCTGAACCTCCATTGTCAACTTGTTTTGTTTTGCACTCAGGACTACAGATGATCTTATGTCCCTAAGGCCTTATTGATCGTGGAGCAGGGAACTGAATTCCCCTTTTTTTAAAAAAAGATTTTAATATTTTTGTTACTGTAAAATGTGTTTATTTGGATTATTGGGAGAAACAAAGCATTGATCATGGCTGGTTTGCTTTGCCCTGAATTTTGCAGGTGGCTGGATTTATATACTGTGACCATAGGTTTAAATTACAAACCACAAACAAGAACAGAGACTAAGAATTCTTTTCTCCAACAAAATATGAATCCGTGGATCAGACCTGCAGCAAAAGCTGTGTTAAGTGTGTTAATGAACCCCATCAAAATAGGAATGTATTTGATTGAGAAAGGTATCAAACAGATAGGTACAGAATGAGATGATTAAATCTCCATGAATATAATCGCTTCCGAGCAGCTTAAAGCCAAAGAAAAGAACAAATATTGTGACTTCAGGGTCACCAGCATTGAACTTTGGAGATTTGGGGATGGACAGTTATCTGGCACTGTTTGCTTGATTAGGTTTTTGGATCAGGGAATTATGTAGAACTCTCCTTCTCCTCTACCCAAAATAGTCACCTCTGTACTTTCACCACTGAAGAAATTAACTGAGTGTGTGGATCAGACCATTTTACATGCACTTTAGAAGATTGGTCTCAATGGGATTAATGATCTTTTCTGGTTTCATACTTGGTTGTGTTATGAATGTAGAATCTCCATCATATAAATGCACATAACCCACAAATTTCATTGGATACGGTAACACCTATCTAATCGGGGCTCCTATTGACATAGCTGTACAATCAGTGAATCAAGTTTGAAATGGACCAGAAATATCACTGATTTCCTCACTGGGTTTGTATTGAGTTAGCTGATCGTATTTGGGGTTATTTTGTTGGAGGGGGAAGGGGAGACTTGCTATAAATGTGATCAGGTTTGAGTTTAATACTGTGAGAATAAAAAAAAGGGGAAGCAATGCCTAAGATGCCATATTTGTATATTGGGAAGAACAATAGAAGAAAATGGCCATTGAATAGGATTGAAAAAACCGTAAAGGGACAAGAGAGAGATTTGAACTCTCAACCGTGGTCTTCATTTTAATCTAGCTGTGCTCTGGTTGTACTTTGCAATTCAGGGTTAATATTATAGTCGTAGATGCTATTCTTGCCAATTGAGTATTTCTAGGACTGTAATTTTATAGTTTATTTCAGCCTTGCAGTGCATGAGCGGAATAAATGATAAAACCAGCTGGTCGAGGAAGATGTTTGTTTCCCTGGAGTGCCGTCAGTCAAAGGTTTGAAAGTACAATGTTCAGCAATCACAAGACATGATACAGTACTTAAATTTTGCATTTTCCATTAGTATAATATTGGCAACATTAACAGTTTCGAAGGATTGGAAAATAATGGTAAAAATGCACAAAAATATGTTTCTGGAAAATATTATTGGATTTAATTTGCTGGTTAATAATAATAATCCTTGCATTGGATATAGTACCTTATCGCATTGTTGAGAAGTCTCAAAGCGCTTCACAGAATATATTGTAAAGTGGATTGATTGTGTATTTTGTGGGTGAGACATGATTATGGTGTAAATCATGTGTAAACAGGAATTAGAGGAGCCCTTAATTATGTAACTAATTCTTAGAGGTGATTGCGTTTGATACAGGGCTTTTCGCATTGTAAGGACATCTGAAAATGCTTCACAGGATTTACCGTAAAGCATAGTGACAGTATATTTTGGTTGATTGTATAACTGGGGCCATCTCTAATACCCTCTGCGAATAATGTAATCACGCCAAAGTTTACACAACTGGCAAATTGGACCCCATAATATTTTTCATTCAGAATGTCAAACTATCATTGTCTTGCATATTTAAAGCTTTATAAGTGGACAAGGCAACTTCACTTGACTTTAATTGGAAATAGTAACACTGGATTTGATTATCAGACTCACCTTGGCAGCCTTGTATTCACTGCTGTTTTCTTTGAATTGCTCTTGTAATGTCTGTGCCAGCTGACAGAGAAGCGCTCCATTGTCCAACTTTTCCATAAAACTTTCCGCCGTGATCTCCTTCCCTGAATGTAGGAAAAGTCGAGATAAAACCAAGATGTCTGGTGCATACTACCAAGTGCTGCTAGTGACTTGAGGAAAGGCAGAAGTAAAAATGTAAATGGAACTACAGTTTGCAATTAAAACACAGGTTTGCTCCATAAGACTGGTTGTCGGGTACTGTTGCGGTAATGCAAAGAGTATGCTTTTTTTTATTTATGCTTTACTCTTTTGTTCAGCTACCTATCTTGATCAAGATGTATTTCATGATGATATCTAGTAATAATCATATTTTGCATCAGATTGATTTAACAACATCAGGCTCCTTGTGCTTATTTTGAATAGAAATACGGAGACCAACAATAAAAGAAATTGTATTTAACAAGAGTCGATTTTTTTTTCCCAATTTGGTTCACTTTTAAAGATTTTTTAAAAATTCTTTAAAGATCAATCAGTTTCTCTTTATTTTAATTTAATCACATAGTTCCAATTGTCTCAATGGCATGGATCAAGACTGGGACGAGGATTTGAGGCACTGCGCTATGACACAGGGGTTGCAGTGGAAAGCTCTGAATAGAGCTATAATAATGAGGATTTTTTTTCCCCCTCCATCGAAGGTAAAGGATACAGGATACACCTTTTGGAAATGTTGTGGAGTTTTGCAACAGAGGAAGCAGTACATTACTCTGTTACTCCTGCTTTTGCTACTATTGTGATGGGGTTTTAAACAATCAGTCCCCTCGGTATGTCATCGGCAGTTGGAGAGTTCCTCTGATTCTGGCCATGCTACTCACTGACAACTCATATCTGGCGAGCACCGCTGATTGCGGTTTTTTGAAAAAAAATTTGCAACCCATTTTAAAAAGGGAAACACATTTCTCGACATTTAAATGAGTTTGCAATCTGTCGAACGAAGTATTTTGTTTTTAAAACCACAAATCCCACTCTTAGCAACCGTGCAGCCAAAGGAGTTCCCTGAGATGAAGGGAAATTTTATTCCTCTAAATAATTTCATTTAATTGCAAAAAAAAAAGTTTTAAAAAAAATGTGATAGATGGCAGAGAGGAATGAACCCTTGTTATTTCACTCAGTTACTGATGACTAACTCTCCAAACAGTAAATTTGTCAACCATGTTTAAATACATTCGAGTTATTTATTACTATTTTTTACAATCACTACTGTAATACAACTAGGGTTACTGCTTCTCCCAACTTCTCTTGTTCCTCCCAAGCTCTAAATACATTGTCCTACATGCCTTGCAACCTACTATGTTGTAATTAACACTTACCGTGCTTTCGAGTGGGGGCCCATACGTAGTCCAGTTTTTGAACAATTCAGAGAAGGGAGTTTCTCCCGGTGTCCTGGCCAATAATTGGTTATTCACTTCATGGCTTGTTTGTGGGACATTGCTGTGTGCAAATTGGCTGCCGTGTTAGCCTACCAAATACAAATCACTGTACTTTACAGTAAATCCTGTGAAGCACTTTAAGACATCCTCCTGAAGCGAAAGGTGCTATATCAAATGCAAGGATTGTTATTTATTATTTTTATTATAAATTTGAGACGCTGGCAGCACATAGAACAGGGAGAAAAAGTACAGGGCCTTGAGACCATTACCAAAATATCCCGCAGTGCTCAAGCTAGCACATTGAGCGTTTGGAAAAGCGGCATCTGTAAATTACACTGCGGTAGGAAATGACTTCACTTGCCTTTAGGGCAGCTTTAGTGTCCCCAAGTCAATACAGAAAAAAAATGATCAACCAAGAGCACTATTTATTTTTGTAACCTGGATTATTAATTTATGCTGCTTTCATACCGCCGGGATTGCGGTCACTATATATAGAGCAGGAAACTGATTTATATTTCCCCATAATTCCCCACTCCAAATGTTGGTTGAACAAATGAGTGCGGTTTATAATGTTATCAAAGAGAAGATCGCACGATCGCCTCTTTAACAACATTCAAATAAGACCTTGCTCAAAGTTTCTGAACTGTCTATGAAGAGCTTTAAATGGAACAAGTGGAAGAGAACACATTGTGATTCTCCCCACCCCAGCCCCGATGTATTTAGTACTGTATAGGGGCAAATGGCACTAGAGTTGAATTCACCTCCTTCAGGTGAAAGCAGAGACTGGGTTCCAGCTCAATTCACACTGCTTCATCCCCAGTTTATAGTACACGTTTGACAATTAATCAATGTCAGAGTCCCACAACAATTCACCACCAAGTGTGCAATATGAACACAGCAAAAGTACTCAACAATCTATATCATCTTAAACCGCTTAGAGATTTTAGGGGACAGAAGCAGCACCAATTAATTTTAGGTGACTTTAAGAGGGTAACATTTCCTTTGGAAAAAGAAGAATGGAAAAGCATATAATGTAACTTTATGTTTTTGAACTTAGCTGAAAATCATGACTTAATCGATTTCCTTTAGTCGTGAAAAAGCTACCTTGAGACTACAGAGCAAGAATAAAAATTCTCATCCTGAATAAGTACATTCCTCATTGCACATTTTTGGATTTTTTTTCAAGATGCGCTGCCAATACAAACATAGCTGAGAAATAGAGGTAATAAATTTCACCATTTGGGCCGATTAAAGTGTCACTCACATTAAACAGATAATCTACTGCGTTCCAACTCCCTTTGTTTTATATATCGAATAATTTGAAGACGCCTCTTCTACCCTTCAAATAGAGATGTTTAGCTACTTTTTGCATTGTGGTAATATTTTATTTATTTATCTGTATTTAACTAACCAGTCTTGAGCTGGCTTCATGCCTATCCCATCTGCAGTCAATGAAAAATATATAGTGTCGACTTTCAGCTGCCTGCATTTCATTCCTGCAAAAAGTAATCATTCTTCACAAAAACCTATGCTACCATCAAATTGGCCCAAACTATCCACAGTTCAGGAAAGAAAAACATTCGGATGGAAAATGCATTCGAATACAATTACATTTAATTTATAACATCACTCTTCTGACAGTGATGTCATTAAAAAAAATTGGACTAACCTTTCACATTAAAAAGTCAAATAATTATGAAAATAAAAGANTTTTTTCCCTCTTAGCACAGCTGTTGTCCTGTATAAGTCCCCCCCCCCCATCCCCAACCTAACTGAGAGCCTTTCATTCTGAGCAGTATTCAATTTCCTTAGATACTTGCAATCCATTTCCAGGTTTCAAGATGACTGCTTAAACACAAGGCTTGAATGTTTTTATCCAGTCGAAGTTGCGGAGTGAATTCAAGACATCTTTACACATAGGTTTGGGTTGGGAAACTGTCTCTTAATGAGAAATATTTTACAGTTCAAGAGAAGAAAAAGAAAGTAAAGTAAATCAAAATAGTGAAATTACATGCAATAACGGTGGAATATTATGGAGCATTTTTGGGTGGGGAACATATCCATGAAACTGGCAAACACTTGCAATGCTACTGTCCAGACATGTAGTTTATAATTTTCCCACCTCCTTTAATACTAAAACAGTCTCCAAGAAACATAAGTTTTTCTTTTCCATGACAACTCATTTATTTTCTCCTCAACAACTCTTTTATGAAGTTAACTTTGTCCAAGACTTTCTGAACTGCTCCCACATCTAGGATGACGTTTCCAGCCCTCCTTTTACACTCTGGACATGACATAAAAAAGGTCTTGTCTGATAGAATGTTTCCTTAAACTCTGGCCTCCATTCTCTTTCTTTCGCTCTACATCGCAACTATTCCTTTCTATTTTAGCAATATGACAAAGGTTAATGCTCCTCCAAACTTTCCTATCTTGTTTCTCCCGAGCTCCATACATATTGTCCTCCATGTCTCACTGTTTCCTTGTAACCTATTAAGTTGTTATCAAATATCATCACATTTTGAGTACAGAGAACATGAGTAATCAAAATAGATCTAGAAATAATAGGTCTAGTTTCACAAATTTATAGCAATCACTTGATAAGGATTATGTTCAGTTGGTAAAATCTACATGGGTGTCTTAGAATTTATTTATCAAAGCATCTGAGACTTTCAATGCATCTTAAGACTCATCAATATAAGAACAATTAGACAACTTGACTCTTAGTAAAATGCAATGGATAATTATAAATACTTAATTCCTTGTAGAGATTTGCATTTGTCTGCACTGGCTCCTGTGCTCTTTGAGTGTTTATAAATGACAGCGCACTGATAATATTAATAATAATACTATGATTAATATTAATAATCCTTGCATTTGATATAGCGCCTTATTACTTGGTCAAGACGTCTCAAAGAGCTTTACAGGATATTCTGTAAAGTAGTGTGATTGTGTGTATTTTGTGGCTGAACACGGAAGCCAACTTGTGCACAGCAATATCCCACAAAACATTATTATATTAATACTATATAATTTGCTGATTATGCTAAGCAGTGGTCAGGTGACTACTGAAGGAAGGATTAGCTGCGTTCAAAGAGATATGGGGAAATGAAGTGATTTCCTGAAAGTATCCAGGTAATATGAGCCTATTGTCAATAAGACAAATCAAATACTGGAATACATCTCTAATGTATTTCATTATAAGGGAGAACAGATTATAACTATGTACATATCATTTGAGTATTGTGTGCAGTGTCGGGTATCCTACCTTCAGAGTTAATACAATACAGTTGTTTCAGAGTAACAAAATGATTCCAGGATTTAAAACTTCATATGGAAAGAGTGACAGATTTCAATTTACTTATATTAGAAAAAAGAAGATAGAGAAAACCTGAGAGGTGTCCTTAACATACTAGAAAGATGGTATTGCAGACGTAACTATACAATTTAAATTAGGTTGTGATGCAAATTTCAAGGAGATTGGTACAAAAGTAACAAGAACAGATTGGTCAATTCCCTGCCCAAGTAACAGATGTAGAAAGAGACTTGCAGCTAAATTAATTAGTGCTTCATGATCATAGTTTGGAAACAGGTAGTGGATGAATATCTGTTTGCAAGAATGGGTTCAATCCTTGTTTAAGGTAATAATGATAAACATGAATTATCCACAGATTGGGGTGCTCCATATGACACTGAAATCATGGTACAAATCACTTTTTGAATTTCAAAAATCCTTGTATTTGATATTGCGCCTTTCACATCAGGAGGACACTTCACAGAATTTACGCTGTAGTGACATTACAGTGTATTTTGTAGGTGAATGCAGTAGCACAGCAATATGTCACAAATGGCTATAATGTGTATCTGGTTGGATTGAATGAAATATATTGTAGTTTTAGACCAATATTTTGGTCTTTTGTTAGAATGCTCACTCTAGGAGGGGAAGACAGGAAAGGGAATATTTCGCAAACCTTCATCTTCTTAGACATTTCCCTTAGAATACTGAACAAGCTGTGCATGAGTGAAATGCGCAATCTGCTTTACCAGACTTCTCGAATGAAATGCAAAGCTCTGTTTTAGTTTTAAACGCTCTGCCATTGCCTACTATTGAGTGACTTGAACAAAAACAATGAAAATCTTGACCATTCATTATATGTACTTATGATTGGCCATGCAAATACGCAATTGCATACTATAAGAATGTAAAGGTTCAACACATTCCAGATTTCTTTTTTTTTAAAAAGTGAGTATCCATTTCATATTCTGCTTCAAGGAAGCAGACACTCTTCCCAGAGGGCTGTGTTCAAAGACTGAACTACTTCCACAGCCCTTTAGTACAGTTACGCTTTTTAAAATTATTTTAATAAAATATTAAGCATTACAACTGTAACCTTACCTAGTAAATTTGTCAACCACAAAGCCAAGTCCTCTTTCATTGGAAGTAAACTAGCTTCATGCCTGCTTGCCAGCCACTGACTATATTGATTCACATCAGAAAGACTGGGTCCAGGTTCCTTGGGATTAAATGTGCTGCACATCTTTGCTTATCCACTTTTAATATCTAAAATGGCAAAAGAATATATAAGGTTATTCAATATTCAAGCAAGTTGCTAGGAAGTAACACAAATATAGAAATGTTAATCATACAGATAATGATACACTTGACACAAGTATCCTTAATAGAGATGATGTGGTGCTTATCTGTCATTTAAATGAGTAAGCAATGTCTCGGTTATATAAAAAAATATAAGTACTCGGACACATTTGATCCAAACCTAATATAACATAATTCTACTAACTGGTGTTTTTGCTAGTTTCATTCATAAACTGTAAGAAATATCTCAAGACTTGCATGATTTTTTTTCAAACCCAGAAAATAAATTTACATCAAACAACACAAAAATAGTTTTGACTTCATTAAGTATAGGTTTTACCTTGTTCCAGAACTGCAGCACAATTTGGAGCCACTCTGCACACAGATGGAGACCACTTAAATGGGACTGTAACTTTAACACAGTGTTGCTTGCTACAGAGCCTCCCAACTCCAGACTCTATCCCAATTTCAAAACAGCCCTATCTGAAGCTGAAAATTAGTTTGCATCTCCCTCTCCAAACTGCATTGTCTACCTTAGTGACCTGGTTCAGACAGAGGAGTTTACAGATGTCTGAATGGCACATAACACTCAGTGTTGCATTTTCAACACATTGCAGAATGAAATCCACCCTTTTCTAAACGAACAGTGGGGTGTTTTTTTATATATATAAAGCTGTACAGTCGAGCATTTATTCCATCCTCTTAGCAAAGGAGTAAGATTACAATGTTTTCCCCTCATTTGTAACTTGAACTATCAAACTTATTTATAAATGGACAACACATAATGGGAGTGTGTTGGTGAGGGGAGTGGTGGGGGAGTGGGGGAAATAAGCAGTCAGCTGCAATTTCACTGGCACATTTACCAGCAATTCAGCAATTACAGTAATAAAAATAAGCTGCGTAAATAAAACGAGTCTTGTCAAACCTCTCTAGTGTAATGCAGGTGTTGATTGATAACAAAATGCAATAAATAACTGCTTTATGACAGCAGCCAACACCGCCATTCTGACTGGGACCAATGTCTGCAAACTCTTGAGTCGAGAGAAACCCCTTAAAAATTAAAAAGCTGCAGCTATTCTCCCTCTCTGTGGTTCTCTCTCCCGGACAGATGTTTTGCAAAAGATGCAGTAGCTCAAACGTAAGGGATCTGGGAAGTGAAAAGCATTCAGATTCTAGTGGGTTGCAAACCCCCCCCATACAGTCACCAGAACATGCAGATTTATACAGCCACACACCCCCCCCCCCCCCCCCCCACACACACACACAAAAAAAAAGTGACTCTTGTCCTGCATCCAACATCTGGTACTTTGGATTTGGTGGTGACCGATGCAAAGAGAAGCTCAGTTCACTGAATGAACTGAAAACGCATTTTATCTCATTTTATTCGCTGCTTCCATAGGTATTCAGATTGCGGACTTCTATCCCCCAAAACCCACCCCGACACCCCCCACCCAAACCCCACCCAAACCCACCCAAACCCCACCCAAACCCACCCAAACCCACCCCAAAAAAAAAAGACCCACAGCAGTTTCAATTAGATTGTGATGCAAAGTGCAAGGACATTGGGTGCATAAAGCAACAACGATAAGACTGGTTACACACACACACACACATACACAATGTAGCACAGATGTAGAAAAGCTCGTGTATATAATGTACATATATATAATATATATATTTCATGCTTTATTTCTGGTTACGGTGCCCTCGGAAGCAACTGCGTCGGGCAGAGAGCGATCAGTGCGTGTGTGTGTGTGTGTGTGTGTCCCCCCCTCACCCCTCACCCCCCCCTCACCCCCAGTCGGTGCTGCTCCCGGTCGCTGGTCCCGACTCGGTCTCTCCCGCACTGCAACACCCGCTCTGCGCGTTGCACTCGTTAATACGCATCATCTGCGGATCAGGACAGCGCTCTGCACCCACTTGCAATGACCGATCCTTCCACTCCTTACGTGTTTTTCTCTCTGTCTCTCTCTCTCTCTCTCTCTTCTCCTATCTTATTTTTTTCTTTTTCTTTCCCCCCCCCCCACCCCCCCAAAAAAAAAATGATTGCCTCTACGGTATCCGCACACCGCAGTTCCCACACATCCGCGTCGTCCCGTCAAATGCGATCGGGAGTCTCGATGGCGACAAAAAAAATACCTTTCCACTCCCGAACGCTCCACTGTCAATGGTTTACCCCTTTTGGAACCTCGACATATTGCATTACAGCATCTGACCCCCCACACCCCCCCCACACCCCCCACACACACACCCACACACACACACCCCCACCCCCCCCCACACCCCCCCCACAAACACACCCCCACCCCCCCCACACCCCCCCACAAACACACCCCCACACCCCCCCCACACACACCCCCCACACACACACCCCCCACACCACCCCCCACACACACACCCCCCACCCCCACAAACACACCCCCACACCCCCCCACACCACCCCCCCACCCCACACCCCCCCACACACACACACCCCCACACCCCCACACACCCCCACCAAAAAAAAAACAGATTTTGGCGAAGGATGAGTGCCTTTTAAACGAGAGTTTCATCCCTTAATACCAGTGAGTTTTTGGAATCATTTTTAGTAACCCAATTCCATAATATTTAGTCTTATGATCATAACAGTTCATTACCATTTGGAGCACACATTGAGGCGATTATACAGGGGGTGGGGGGTGGGTGGGGGGTGGGTGGGGGGTGGGGGGTGGGGGGAGGTTGTGAACTCACCAATCGTGACTGTTTCACTCATTTTGTTTTGCCACTTATTAGGATTTAAAGATTAAGTGACAATCTTATTGCTCTATAATAATAATAATAATAATAATAATCCTTGCATTTGATATAGCGCTTTTCACGTCGGGAGGACGTCCCAAAGCGCTTCACCGAACACACTGTAAAGTGAATTGACTGTATATTTGTGGGCGAACGCGGCAGCCAATTGCGCACAGCAGCGTCCTACAAACAGTCGTAGATTGAAAATGACCAATTTATTGTTGTTTTGGGTTTTGGAGGCGTTCGCCCACAAATATACAGTCAATTCACTTTACAGTGTTCTGTGAAGCGCTTTGGGACGTCCTCCCGACGTGAAAAGCGCTATATCAAATACAAGGATTATTATTATTATTATTATTATTAGCCTGCTGTTATCCTCATTGGTATGGACCTAAAAAGTTAGAGCTCATTAAAGTACTGTTGTGGTAATCAGTTGGGTTACATGTGTGCCTCAGGACATTGCAGTGGCAACTTCTCTGCTACAACTTAAGTACTAGTGTGGACATATGGTAGGCAACACGATTACCTCACCACACCGGCTCTATTCTCAACTCAATGATCTGATTGTTGGAAGGCTGACCCGATGGGACCTGTCCGAAAGAAGTATTGCCACCAGCAATAACCTGGTACTCCACTTAGTCCAGGTATACGCTGTAATAATAATCCTTGCATTTGATATACTATAGTGCCTTTCGCATGGGGAGGTTGTTTCAAAGCGTTTCACATGATTTACTGTAACGTGTAATGACTGAGTATTTCAACGGCCAATTTGCACGCAGCAATAACTCACAAACGGCCATGAAGTGAGTAGCCAATTTTAACTGGGGGGGTTGTTGTCAGGACACTTGAGAGAAACTCCCTCCTCTTTTCAAGTAGTGCCGCAGGATCTTTATCGCCAACCTGAACAGGCAGATGGGACCTCGGTTTACCGTTTCATCCTAAGTGCAGCACTCCAACAAAACACTACTGCATTGGAGTGTTAGCCCAGATTGTGTGAATTCGAAGTCCCTGGTTCTTGAATCCACAAGTAATGCCACATTATAGGCAAACATTTAGTATCATCGGTAACACTAGTGTGCTTCATTGTTAGCAATTATATAAATACTTTTAGATTGGATTAGAAGCAATAGTGTTAATTTAATATTATTTTCTCACAATCCCATTCCTTAATCTATTTCAGCGTATGATGCATTGGTTTATGCCACAATATCTATTTCAATGAGAACATGCAGTTCTGGTAGCACAAGGATGTATTGTTCAGTTGGGTCATGATGAGTTAGCTATCTTTAGAGAACAGAATATACACATATCAGCAGGGATGAAAACGTTTTCCTTTTGGGATCAGATGAGATTGTTGGGGGAGAGACAGTATTCTAACTACCCAAAGTGCTAGATTACAGATGTGACATTTCCTGGTGTGATCTGAGATTGTATTGTTTAATGTGCCTTCTGTATACTGGTGTATTTCATCTGTAATTATTATCTTCACATAGAACTTGAAAGAAATGTTCTCCAAAATCGTCCGCCTCACTCACAAGTGTTGGAAGTGCAAATGTTCTTTCAATTACGTCCACATCATTTGTAATGTTGTGGATAATTCCTGAGTTGTACTAATAATAATCCTTACATTTGATATCGCGCTTTATCATGTTGAAACATCTCAAAACACTTCAGTGTTTTTCTGTAAAGTGTAGTGACTGTGTATTTGTAGATAAATCCAGCAGTTGATTTTTATACAATATCCCACAATCAGCCATGAAGTGATTGTTTTAAAATCTGATTGTTGGCCACAGAGAATTGAGCAACTCTTCTCTTTTCAAATAGTTCCATGAAATCTTCAACACCTGAACAGGCACATTGATATTTCATCTGAAGGATAACACCTCAGACAGACCTCTCCTGATACTACTCGTGTCAACCAAGACTGATCAAAGTCCCAATAAGGGGCGTGAAAACATAACCTTCTGACTCGGGCAAGTTCTACCAACTGAGCCAGGCTGACACTAAATGATCTACGAGAGGTAACATTCATGACAAAGATATAGGATCATTTTTGTTTGCTGTAAACTTCTCCAGTTCACTCAATCTGCACTTTGCCACAGAAATCAGGTGTGTATGTGAGAAAGGGGCTATACAAATGAAGTGATACATCTGCCGTGCATGTGCTAGAATAATTAAATCATAAAAGTAGAATATAAATATTGCCTCAATTCAAATGCTATTTTAGTTATGATCACAACTATCTAGCATATGGAGTCTATTATTCAAATTTTAAGCGCATCACATGGTCATTTTACATTTGAAAGCACTTTTGTGGATGTGAATGGATATAGATTAGGTATTCTGAACAATTATTTCTCTGAACTGTTTTAAGTCTCACCTTGATGTTACCTTTACCTGTGTAAATACTGAACACAGAAAATGTATTGCTGCTTTTTTTCTCAGCCCCTGCATCATTCGACATTGTGAAAGTCAGTAACAAGTGGGCATTATTTGAAGATTATCATCAGAAAAAGGTTAGAAAAATATTTTGTGCAATGGATGTTCAGAATATGGAATGCCTTACCACACATGGCTGTTGAAGCTGAATTCAAACCAGCATTTAAAAAGGAATTGCACAAATGCTTGATAAAATAAATATTAAAGGTTACAAGGGAAGAACAGGAAAATAAGATCAGAGAAAATAACTAGCGAGGGAGTTAACGCTACATATACAACGTGCCAAACGGTCTCCTCTGTGTTGTAAAGATTTTATGATTCCATGAATACCATCCAATGCTCAGTCCTAGGAATAAACATTATCTACAATGCCTGACTATAGACCATTGGTAGATTAGGGAAGTCCTTGGTCCTATGTAGTTTCCTGCACTATAGTCTGGGCCGATAGAAAAGTGCGGAAATATCTGCCCAGAATTGTGGGGAAACTTGCCAAATCTTGCGGAGGATTGTGATGTTGATTGTTGCTATTGAGGTATATTTTACTGCTAACCTACACTTTTGCACTTTATTGATAAAAACTAAACACGAGGAAATAACACTTACTAGATTGTTGCGAAACACTTTTATTCATTTCTTTTCTTTAACAAAAACTGGGTGGCCCATTTGGGGGCTGGGTATACCAGAACAGGCCTGAAGGGCCTGGAGAGCTGCCAAAAACCAGACACTCATAACCAGTGTCCTGACTGAGCGATGTGAGCTCAACATCTCCTGCCTCTCGAGGCTCAACATCGCACACAGACATAGACACAAACACAGAGACTAGCATTCTGAGAGACACAAACACTCAGTCACAAAGAGACACACACACATACAGAGGGGAGACACACACACTCACACATTTTTATACACTAGGCTTTCTCTATAAAAAAAAAGGTGCCTTTATTAAGTATATAATATTGCCCAAGGTCATAAGAGTGAAAAATCAGCAACCTATTTCCAACTCACGGTTAGAAAATAGGTTAATTCTGTAGTGCTGTGGCTGAACAATATTGAGTGTTTCTCCTTTTTGTGTAACTTGGTAATTGTTTTGCTGAGATACGATATTGCACAAACAATGGATTTAATAGAAAAATGTGACACTTGACAAGGTTAGACTATCCTTTTTATTCCTAGATGTTGAAAACCCTTGAACACTGCAAATGGGAAACCGGTGAAGGCAAGTAGCCTGTAAGGGTGATACGCAATAAGTCGGAAGACATTTCATTTGCATTCTCACGGTGAGTGGAATGGATTACAGAGAAGAGTGGTTGAGGTGAGTGCATTTCAACTCATTTTACAGCTGGATATTCAAACAGGAAGAGAGTCAGATGAGGAGGATGAGATCAGGTTGGCCGAAAGACCTTTTTCATTCACACCTCTCTTGTGACCTTGTAAAGTCTGCCACTTGTGATCCGGGCGCAGCATATGCAGGGGATAGGACAGCACTGAGCCTGTGGGAAGTGAACGTGACCTACCGAAGCTACCCCGGCGCTAGGGATGGGGTGGGAGGTACGCGGGAGGCTCCCTGTAGCTGAGCCGGCTCCGAGGTGACGTGCTCAGCGACAGAAATGTGGGTATCGAGTCAATCCAAGATTGGGCAAGTTTCCTTACTCCACACACCTAATAATAATCCCTCCAAAACAAAAAATAATAAATTGGTCATTTTCAATCTACGACTGTTTGTGGGACATTGCTGTGCGCAATTGGCTGCCGCGTTCGCCCACAAATATACAGTCAATTCACTTTACAGTATATTCTGTGAAGCGCTTTGGGACGTCCTCCTGACGTGAAAAGCGCTATATCAAATGCAAGGATTATTATTATTATTATTATTATTATTATTAATCCTCCCATGGCAGTCCGGGTTATTCTGTCTCGGTGGCAGGCGGGTCTACAATGCCCCAGGGCGCCGCTGATTAACGGACCAGCCAAGCTTGGACCTGAGAGGGGATGGGTGGACGACGAATACTTTCAAAGCAAACGGTGATGGGTCCGAGCGTGTGCCGGACACAGGGGTGGGGAGGGAGGGGGTGGGTGGGGGTTGGGAAGCTGACCCCGGGATTGAAACCTCTGCTTTCAGAGCCTTGGGACATCCTCCTGGAAGTGAAAGGCGCCAATAATTACTGTAATATCCACGCAATTCGTTGCTCGGGGCCAAATCCCGACGGTCCCGGCAGCTCCACGGACTGTCTGGACAGGGCTGGAAGCCGCGAATACAGATGGGATCTGCGGTTAAAACGAAACCGATAACAACAACAAGAACAACAACCAGATTACATTCGTGTAGCGCCTTTCACGTCGAGAGGACATCCTTGTAAGGCGGGAAAAAAATATAGATATACACACGCACGCACACGTCTCCGAGCGCTTCACGGAATACGAGGTGCAGCGACTGTGGTGTTTCGTGGGCGCGGACGGACGGCGGTGCACGGGCGGCGCCCCCACAAACAGCCGTGGATCGAAGCGACCGAATTACCTGCCCCCCCCCCTCGCCCCCCGCGCGCGGTCTGGAGCTCCATCCCGCGGTCCCTCGGCCCTCGCTGCCTCCCTCGCCCTCCCCCCTTCGAGGCCGGTCTCAAGACCCTCGTCTTCGACCGCGCCTTCGGTCGCCCTCCCACCTCTCTGCCCCCCCCAATGCACGGGCTCCGTCCCCCTGACTGCCCAGCGCCTGGGGACGTCCCTCCCCATGTGAAAGGCGCTCTTATGAACGCCATTTTGTTGTTGTTGTTGTTGTGGGGGGGGAGAGGTGACGGTTGGTGGTGACGGTTGGTGGCGGCGGGTCACGTGCCGCCCATGGAGCGCGTGGCCGAGCGCGCGGAGCGTTTCTCCGAGGTGCTGGCGGTGGCGCGGGGCCCCTGGGCCCGGCACTGGGACGAGGCCGCCGCCCGCCGCGCTTTCCAGTGGGCCCGGTACCTGGAGCGGCTCCACGCCCGCCTCGCCGGCCAGCCCGCCCTCCGCCGGGCCCTCGAGCCGAAGCTGAGGGAGCGGCCGGGCCAGGCCCGGGGCCCCGGGCTGCCGCCGTTGGGTCGCCGCCCGCTGCGCTTCGACGAGCTGGGCGGCGGCGTGGAGGCGCTGAGGGTGTCGCTGCTGTGCAACCCGTCGGCCTCCCCCGCCGCCTTCCACCAGGCCGCCTCCTGCCCGCCGCGCCCCCCGCCGCCGCCTTCACCGGGCGGCCGGAGCAGCTGCGCCGGCCTCGAGGCCGCGCTCAGGACCAAAGCGGCGGCTCGGCTCCTGCTGGAGGCCTGGGACTCGGGTGCGGAGCGGCACGGCTCGGTGCTGGAGACGCAAGCGGAGCTGCTCCGGGAGCGACTGGAGGCGGGTTGGCCGACCGAGGAGGTGATGGAGGAGCGGCTGCTGCGGCCTAGTCTGTCCGGCGGTGAGGGCGATGGCGGCGGCGGCGGCGTGGAGGTGATGCTGGAGGCCGGCGGCGGCCCCGAGGAGCTGGCGCTGCGCTGGTTGCTGGGCCAGGGCTCGGCGCTGCTCCTCGCCCTCCCCGGGGACCTGCTGAGCCGCGCCGCCTCCCGCCACCCGCGCCTGGCGGCCGCCTACCTCGGCGCGCTGGCCCGCTGGGCCGAGACCATGCGCTACGAGGCCGGCAGCGGCCGCTGGCTTCACGAGTCGCCCGAGCGGGGCTGGGGGAGGCTGGTGCGGCGGCTCCGAGCTCTGCTGGAGGGGCCGCCGCCGGTCAGGGGGGCGGCGGAGGAGCTGCTGAAGTCCGGCAGAGCCGCGGACGGCGACTTCGACGTCTCGGGCATCAGCGTCTGGACGGACCTACTCCTGGCATTGAAGGCCATTTAAATCTCCCGCCCTTCCCTCCTCCTTCTTCCTCCTCCTCTCTTCCTCCATTCCTCCCTCCCTCCTTCCTTCCTTCCTTCCCCCTCAGTCGAGCCCATGGACTGCGTTCCGCAGTGCAGTTCTTGTCGTGGGTTGAGAGGCGCTTAGGCGGAAAAAGCTTCCAGATTCTGCTCACGAGTTGTATATAATTTGTTTTCTCTCGAAATGTGATTACATTACCAAATATCTCTCCCCTCCCCACCCTCCCCCACCCCCCGTTATCTGTTTGACATGGAGTTGAAATAAAAACTTCTTATATTGATAAGAGTTCGAGTCATGTAGTACAACAACAACAACAAAATTCCACGTGTGCAGAGCCTTTCAGGTTGGGAGGACTCCGCAACCATCGGTGTTTGGGACCCGAGCTGGTCCCGGGGTGGCGGAGGGCGGTGGCGGAGTGGGGGGGTGGGGGGGGGATGGAGGGACAGAAATGCCTGTCGTTTTAGCCATATTTCACTTTTTTCCTGAGAATTAAATGTTGTCCGAATATCCGCCGGAATGCCTTTTTGAAAGCAGCGGTTCGCGCCGAAAACTTGGCCGAACGTTCCCAGCGTTGTAGATTCGGATCGAGCGGCGTCTCTCCCCAAGCTGCGGCGCAAGTGCTGTTGCTAATGCATCGCTAAGCACGTCGGGAGGCACTTGCAGTGCTGAATACGTATTGCCTGTACGGTTAAAGAAATGATAGTTCCGAGAAAAATATGGAGCGATTCAAGAGAAAATCACGGAAGAATGAGCACTAAACCTGCTCAGACACCCTCATCGCTCCAAGACTCCTAATTTTATTTGAAATGCAATTTGGGAAATAATTCCTAACTGCAAGGCTCTTTGTTTCATTACTCTCTTTATTACTAAATGACATGCGTCAGAACCCAGCAAAACCAAAGAATAACTGTAATCTATTACATAAGCCGTAAAATGTTATTCGGGAGCTCTCTACCCTCTGCTTGTATCGCCCAATAAATAGCCAATAGGTGGTGTACAAGAGCAGTTTCCCTTAAATTATTTTCTGTAGAAACAGTTACCGTTTACTTGATACTTGCAATAATAATAATATAATAATAATAATCCTTGCATTTGATATAGCGCTTTTCACGTAGGGAGGACGTCCCAAAGCGCCTCACGGAACACACTAAAGTGAATTGACTGTATATTTGTGGGCGAACGCGGCAGCCAATTGCGCACAGCAATGTCCCACAAACAGTCGTAGATTGAAAATGACCAATTTATTATTGTTTTGTTTTTTTGGAGGGATTATTATTAGGCTCTGTGTGGAGTAAGGAAACTTGCCCGAGGTTTCGCCCTCTGCCTGGAATTGAACTCAGGTCTCTCACTTGCAAAGCGAGTGCTCTAACCACTGAGCTACAGGACTCCACAATAGTAAGATTGAGATCAGGAATTAATTTTGGATGAATAGGAAAGACCCACATTCCACATAATCAAATGCAAAATGTTTAACAGCCCGTGCTATTTATCAGATTGTTTTTATTCCCCAATATGAAACTCCTCAACATTTTGAAATTTTACAAAAGCGAAGGTTGGTGAATAAATATCCAATTCTATGATCATTTAGTTTTTCCGAATGGAAGCCACACTCACATGGCCTTTTTCTAACAGTTTTTTTTTAAAAAAAGTTAAGTCTTGGCGAAAGACATACTTTGAGTAAAATTAAGTTCATTTTAAATCAATAATTTTAATAATTTGAAAAATAAACTCTTTTCTACTATTTTTCCTTTCCCATCCCATTACAAGTGAGGTTCCCTCTAAAACATGGGTGGCCCATCCCAAAAGATGGCATCGGTGTATGTTTTATATGCCTGATCCAGACTTATCCATATGCGATGCTGTGTTCCTGAATTTGATTTCCTGATATCAATATTAATGGCTAATATACAACAAAACCTGCACATACACAAAGGGCTGTTTAGCATCTGAAAGAAGGTTCAGGTGAGATCCTTCATACATCAAACCTGAAGATTTTCAAATTTCCAGTATTTACAATTTTCTTTCATCTGAATGATTAATTTGCATGTGTTGAGCTAGCATGGAAAATGTGAGTATTGACTTGAAGTCTTACAGTTCAAAAATAGATTGTTCAGAATGAATTATTCATATGATGATGGTAATTGGAAAACCAAAAAATCTTTCCTGTAAATTTTATTTTCAGAATCAACTGATGTTGTTGATGTTTTCTAAACAGACTACTGAAATCCCAGTATTTGTAGAGTACTGTAGCTTAGACATTAGAGCACTCGCGTCACAAACCAGAGGACCTGGGTCTGATTCCTGGGCAGGGCGAAACGTTTCCTTACTCCACACGCCTCTGTTTATCTCGCAGTAAGTAGGAACCCGGATGTTAGTTGATTTGTGGATCGCTTTTCCGGGGATGATAACTCCTTCAAAAAAAAGTTGGTCACTCAATTTATGACTGGGACACTGCTGTGTGCATTTGGCTGCCGCGTTTCACCCACAAAATATACAGTCAATTCACTTAACAGTATATTTTGTGATGTCTCGAAGACATGATAAGCTGCTATATCAAATGTAAGGATCATTATGAAGTCTTGTATAACGGCCTATTAGGGCAGTGTCAACAAGCTGTTCTGAAATCATAATTAAACAACTTGTATAAATGTTAACTGGCACAGTTTTAAACAGAGTTCTTCATTATTCATTGTTGAATGTACAGAATTAATTTCTAATTGTATTAGCAACACATGCAAATGAGTTGGGTAGAACCCATTGATTGCTGTCAGTTATTAACAGCATGTGATCAATCACCAAATCATTAGTGTGGGACCAAGGTCGTCCATCAGCAACTTAATGTCACGAGAGACTGAACTTGTCATTCTCCTTGTTCCAAAAGATAAAATGTCACTGTGACAAAATTTTAAATGTTAAGAGATGAAAATGAACACATTCAGCAATCCATCTGTCAGTGAATCGAGTATTTATGCATGGCTGAGTTCTGAATTAATTGATACACTTGCTTGCGTGCTAAACAACAGGCCAGTTGTTTTATTTAAAATCTCCAATATTTAATTTAGGACATTATCAAAACATTCTGTTATCATTTTAACAATATCAGCTTTGCAACATATTTTGATGGGATTAGCACTATCATGTAGTGTGTTGGTGATAATCTATATTTATAGGTAATGTTGGCAGAAATAATAATAATAATATTATTAATAATAAAGAAATACAAACTTGCATTCAAATGGTGGAATTGACATCTGGGACCAAGAAAAATTTTGATCTGTATTCATCTCAACTCTACAAGTATCCTTGTGAACTTGCAAATAGAGGAAATGCTTCATCTCAATATTTAAGCGTTTTGTTTCAGTATTTATCTAGAAAGTGCTTTTATTTTAATTTAGGTGCAAAACATCAAATTAGTGCTGTCTTGTGGTTCAATGTAAAATCAACATCCGCCGGAGCCAGAGAAAATTGGAGGTCCAGTGTTCAATGCCTTTTGGGATGAAAGTAGTTTGATACAGAACAACTACACGTGGATTCACACGTTTGATTCCAAATATCTGATCGTGGTTTGCTGAAGGAGACACTTGGGAACTTTACTCGAGGGAAGGACATTGGGGAGTGGAGCAGTTCTGTGCTGCTGTCATGCACCTCCTGGTGGATGGTTACAGAGTCACACTGTCAGAGCAAAACAGCACCTGCTTGGCTTCTCGATCAGGAATTGTGCATGGATTAGTGACCCAAATAATAACAACAACATGCATTTATATAGCTCCCTTCATACGGGGTAGCGTCCCGGGGTGCCGAATTCTTAATGCTGTAAATTGTATTAAACTATCATGCATGTTTGAAACTCCTACTGCTATAGTTAGAGAAGATGATGTTGAAAATGGTATGCCATGTGTTTTTTTTCCAGTGAACAGTGTTAGATGAGCGCATCTGCTGTTGTCTTAACACAAAGGTACAAGGCAGTTGGCGAATAAACAACACAGATTCATGTGGATATGAATGAGAAAGAATGATGAACCTTTTGAATGTGACCCTTTGACAGAACTGGAATAATGAGCCTGAACAACAACAACAACATTATATTTGTAGAGCGCCTTTCACGTCGGGAGAACATCCCAACATGCTGGACCGACAGAGTTACGGACCCGAGCTGAGGGTAGGGGTGGGGGAGGGTGGAGGGCAGGGGGGAAGCAGGGAGCTCAAAAGCATGGTCGAAGAGGAGGGTCTTGAGATGGGACTTGAAGGTGGCGAGGGAGGGGGAGAGATGAAGAGACTGCGGGATGGAGTTCCAGAGGGTGGCGGCAGCATGGCAGAAGGCCCGCCTGTCAATAGTGGGGCGAGTGAGGCGGGGGACGTGAAGCAGGCCGGAGTGAATAAGATGGTAAGGGGATAGGAGGTCGGAGAGGTAGGGGGGAGCAAGACTGTGGAGGACTTTGAAGGTGAGAGTCAGGATCTTGAACTGTATGCTTTGTGTGATGGGAAGCCAGTGGAGTTGGGCATGGATGGGGGTGATAGGATCGTGGAGCCTAGTGCGGGAGGGGACACGGGCTGCAGAATGCTGGATGATCTGCAGCCTGTGGAGGGAGGAGTTGGGGAGGCCGACCAGCAATGAGTTTGTTTAGTCGAGCCTCGATGTAATGAAAGCATGTAAAAAAGCCCTTTAGAGGACTGCCTTGGATAAGGATAAAGTTAGCAACTAAACACAACAGGAAGAAGTTCAAGGTTCTATTAACTACACTCAAAATGGTTGGGGCAGTTAGTGTTGTGTGTCCCACCTCATTAGATTAAGCAACTATTTTTGATAACAACTGGTAGCCTTGGAATTCAAACTATTTGCCACTAAGGTATTACATTATAAAATCTGAGTGACTTATAAATGGTGAATTTTTTTTTGTAATTCTCTTAGCAGAAAAAACAATAGAGCAATCATTCAGAAATGTCACATATTACTAAGTCTTTTACAGCTTGTTAATTTAAAGAGACAGTTCGAGGCATTTAGCTATGTTTATCCATAAAGGAAGGCAAAACAACAATAAGTGATTATATATTATAACTACTGTATTTCTAATTTAATACAATATAAGAATCTTTAACCCATAATAAAATGTGCATAACTGCAAATTTGATGTTTGTTGCAGTCCAAAGTTGCAACTGTATATATTACTGTAAAGTGGGCAGTCAGACTTGCTTACTTGTTCCACAGTCTGTTAGGCT